TCCTGTAAAATGTCCATGGAACAAATGAAAAAAAGTTCATTACAGAAGGTAGCCAAAAAAAAATGTAAAATGAGACCATGAAAATGATGAGTAAACCAATGTGAAAAAACTGAAAAGGAATGCTATATTACAAAGAAAAGGGTAGTGCTGATCAAAAAAAAATAATAATAAATAAATATTATATAAACATATATATATATATATATATATATGTATATATATATATATATATATATATATATATATATATATATATATATATATATAATATATATAATATATATTATATATATTATATATATCATATCTATATTATATCTACATCTACCTATCTATATGTATATATATCAATATCTATATGTATATCTATATCTATATCTATATCTATATATATATATATACACAAACACTCAGTTATCCATCTATCTATCCAAAATCCTTAAATGATCTAAAGTTCAATGAAAAGACTAGATCAGTGTTTCATCAATGAATATGAAAATCCCATCAATAATTTCCCAAAGCATTCAGATACAAAGACTAACTGAACAATTGCAATTATAACTGTGTGTTGTATTAGCTGGCCCACAAGATACACCTACCAGAGAAGTTTTCCTGGAAACTATAATGAAGTACACTTTACTACAAATCTTTTATAAATCTACTAGGATTTGCCACTACTCTTACCACTACTTGTTCTGAAATTACACTTTCAAACAATTATTATTTACTTGCCAAATAAATATGTACATCATACAGTATCATGACTTTATAGCTTACTGTAACCTTTTATGATTATATCAAATATAATGTGCATTACACAAGCCTTTGTGTATGGTCCCTTCAACTGTCTTCACACAAAAAAAGTTAGATCAGATGAACTGTACCTTTTATGTTTTCAATAACTACTCTGTAAGTTTGACATCATTTTGTTTGATAGAATTTACATAGTAATACTCAATATCTGCATTTGGTGAACTACAGTAATTCACTCAAACCAACTGGCAAGATACAATAAGGCTTCTGTATTTGATCCATGTATAATGAGAGCTGGGATATTCTTACTGAAAAAGTGCATCTTATGGACCTGCAAATACAACAATAAATTAAAATGAAGATTTATATATTTAGCAACAAAATTTACATATTTAGCAACAAAACTGAGCTGCATGTGAAATGAGAGGAATATGTTCTTGAAAGGAAGAAAATCTTTTAAATGATGAATTAATGGATGGTAATCGGGAATGTGAATTTCATGTGCAAGGGTAAGACTGATATTTTCTTTCATTTCATAGAAAAAAATTAACAGATGCATATATGAAATCTGCTTTTAATTATTATATTATTTGACAAGAACATGCCTCAAGCCATTCACAGCAACAACACAGTGTAGAGAATTATGTAAAGTATTTTCAGGAACAAACTTTGTTATTGCATTTACTCTTTATATAAGACCCTATCTAACAATAATCTTCACAATCCTACTTATAAAACCACTTTCATCAGAATGCAGGACCACAATGTTATGAAAAAGAGATGATCCAGTATGAAATATGTGAAAATGATGCATTCTATTCTGTAATAATTATGGAATGACCCTGTGAAAATTATCAATTTTAGGCATAAGACCTGGGATACTCTAACCCCTTGTTATCAGTGATATATGACTTCAGGTGAATTTCAGGTGGAAACATCAAAATCACCATGACATCTATAAAATTTACCTGGCATCAAGAGGTTAATGAGTTGAGAATAGTTTTCTATTAATGGAGGTGTTCAGAGAATTTTCCCTTCAAAAAACTATTATCTCAAATCTAATTGTGTCATAGAAATGAATGCAGCTTTGGTTGGTACACGATGATATTCAACCTACTTCTTAAAAGATTTCTTCTATTTAAAAGGGTGCAGTGCAGCCTCTTGATGATGTAGAATCCATACAAGCAAGATATATGGTGTTTATTGGAAAATATCTAAAAGCATGTGAACATGGAGATGGGACACCACTGCAAGTGCCCACTACTAATCCAACTAAGAAGAGATGAGGAAGGATAAAGAATACTAGTTCAACCTAGTTGCTAGTTGACTAATTATACATCCCACCTCCAAGGATGGAGCTGGGATGCATAACACATTGGGTCCCTGTTTAGTATCCTGTTAACACATATTTTTGGGCTGAAACTCATCTTTATAGATTAGTATAAAGTATTTGTTAAACTTATCATAACTTATATACCTTATCCTTTACATAAATTATTTATAATGCTTAGGCTTATATAGTTACAGAATTTTTTAATGAATTTTGAATAGTGAAACAAGAATCTATAGTCCAATTAACGTTATATCTGAGCATCATGTTTCTTTGTTGACAGGGTACTAAGAAAAAAATGTAATAAAAATTTAAGTCAAAGAATCATAAAAAATAAGTCTTCCTGGCAACGAAATATAAGAAAATAAATAAAAATAAAAATAAAACAAAAACAGAAACAATAAATAAAGGAAGAAA